GCCAGGGCTGCTTTCCAAGCGGGGCACCCCTGAGAACTGTCTGTCCGGGGTGGGGGTCGGGACCCTTTAAGCACAGCCGTCGGCTAGCCTGAAACAGCATCTCCACGCTCTAAGTCCTCATCTGATGCCCTGCCGGCACTGCTTCCGGCCATCCTTAACCCCGGTTCAGGGTCCACTTAATGTGGACATGCTAGTTTGAATTAGCAAAACGCTAATTTGAACTAGTTTTTTAGTCTGGATCCGTTAGTTCGAATTAGCTTAGTTCGAATTAACTAATTCGAACTAAGTTAGTTCGAATTAGCGCTGTAGTGTAGACATACCCTGGCTGTGAGGGGCCAGCTAGCTGCCCTGCTTCCTTTCTGACACTGGCCCGCCATCCCATGGGGCTGGTCAGTTGCCATGGAGCTCATGTGACAAAGCTGCAGCCATGGACTTCCCTCCCCTTCCCCTGCAGGCCTACCTGCGAGTCTCAGACTCCTGGCCCCTGCCACATGGCTTCCCTGGACCCGGGAGCTTGCAGGGCCAGACCTGGGATCTGCAGGGCTGGGTGGCAGCACTGGATCCCCCATTATGTGGGAAGAGGTGACAGCCTTGGAGTTTGTGGGGCAATGTAGCAACCTGAGATCCCTACCCTGTAGGGTTAGCTGGGAGTCCTGGGCTCCCAATCCCAATGGCATGGCTGCCCCAGAGTTTGCTGGACCCAGGTAACATCCACAGATCCTGGAAAACATGGAGCTGAGTGCAGCACCTGGAGTCCACAGAGTAGATGGCTTTAGCACACAGCTGCCACATGTGGTGAATTGAGAAATGCTGAATGTGAGTTCTGCCTAATTTTCTGAAACAGAGTTCACTACAGTATATCTATTTCTTTAGCACCTCTTGTTTGTCCTGAAATGAATTTTTAAAATAACTTTTTGCTTTGCCATCTTTTGGGGGGAAAAGTTCATTTCAGATTGACTTCCTCTCTCTCCCTCACCCAGAGCTGTCACAGAACCAAAAATTCAGTTATTTTATAGTTCTAGATCTCAAGTTGACTTCCTACTGTGAAGACCGTGCAGAAACTCAAATTAAAATATGTCAGCTGGACATAATTATGTAGCTGGAATTGTGAGTCTTAATTTGATTTTCCTGCATAGTGAAGACATAGCCTAAAGGTACAGATGTGACCTTGGCAGGTTTTAAAGTACCACCTAAATGAGTCAGGCACCTGAATACCTTTGTATTGCTGGTACTTGGAGTCTAAATACTATCTTCAAAGGGCCAAAGTGGGTTAGGGACTTTTCTGGGACTTAAAAGGTTATGCTCTCTTTCGAAGATGGCCTCTTTACATTGAAGAACGCCTTCTTTCGAAAGAGGAACTTTCGAAAGAAGGCGTTCTTCCTCGTAAATTGAGGTTTACCGCCATCGAAAGAAAAGCCGCGTTCTTTCGAAATTATTTCGAAAGAACGCGGCTTTTCTTTCGATGGCGGTAAACCTCGTTTCACGAGGAAGAACGCCTTCTTTCGAAAGTTCCTCTTTCGAAAGAAGGCGTTCTTCAATGTAAATAGGGTTTCTTCAAAAGAGAGCATCCAGACTCGCTGGGTGCTCTCTTTCGAAAAAGCGGATTGCTCTTTCGAAAGATCCGCCTGCAGTCTAGACGCGATCTTTTGAAAGAGGCTCTTTCGAAAGATGCTTTCGAAAGAGCCTCTTTCGAAAGAAGCCTGCAGTCTAGACATAGCCTAGGAGACTACAGCTTATCATTTTACTCTTTGCCTGCTCTTCACTGGTCTATAGCTGTTAAAAGTGGGCATATTCGAGCTTCTAAAATAAGAAGCTAAAATCAGAATAAAATGTGGGGGTATATGCAGTATACCTGCCTTCAATACCTTGGTCACACACTTGCCATTGGTTAAGTTTGTGAACATTCCATTCAATTTTTACACTTTAAAGTTTTAGAGTTAAAGTTAAGGCATCTGTGGAATGTGAACCAGCAAATTTGTTAAATGCAAAAATATATGACAAATTTAAAAAATGACATAATTACATCTAGTTGAATTTATTTCTAATTCAAACATTATTCATATTTAACCTTGTCCTCCTGCCTCCCCTCTTAAGTTAGAATCTCATTGTTCTCACTGGTATGTGTTTTTCTAAATAATTATCTAGACTACCTGAATTGGTGCTTGGCTATCAAACTTGCTGAGTTAGGAACACTGAGGTGAGCTTAATGCCTTCTCCTGCTGCTGATTATGTCTGAATGGGCGAAGTCTGTGAACTAAAAATAACCAGCATGCCAAGGCAAATATTCTGATTCCCCAGAACTCATTAATAGAAGTTTGTTTTAAATTTGAGAGCATTCAGGTTATTATACCAGAAAGACATGGCAGTACAAATACATTAAACAAGTCAATAATTATCGGAACCTTAATTCCTTTTTAAAAAAGTAAAAAGCTGTTTCTTTTCGGAAAACATTATAGACTTACAAATATTTTATTCAAATTTCACCACCTATGAGGAGAAACTTTTCTTCTCAATGAAGTATTTTCCAGGTTTGGAGTTTCAGGCTGATACTTTGTATGTAAATAAGGTAAATCCATTAGCTAGCTCATATTTCATGCTAAAGAGGAGTGAAGGTAATAATTCAGCATACAGAGCATGTAGGGGCATGCACACCATGTAGAAACTCATGTAACTTATATTGAGTTTCAGGTAAAATCATGAGTGGTGCATAAGACTCCAAACAAACACATGCATTTTTTCTCTTTCCATACCGTAGGTCTGGTTTCACATTTTTTTGTATGGAGCTAGCTGCCATTCAGACTCAGTTAAACTGCCAGAGTCTTAAAATAATAAAAGCAGGAAATTCTTGAAAGATAAATTCAATATGGTAGCTACAACTAGGTTTCACTGGACTGATTAAAATTATATCATATTTTGAAGCATATTTGCAATGAGACTAAAACATATTTGACATTTATATTAAAATAAGAAACAGAAGAATATATCTTATCTCACCTCACAGCCATGCTGTGGCCAATATATTCATCCTCAAATTCTGTTTATAGCCTGCTCAGGAAAAGGTTTATTTGAACTGGTTCTGTTTTGTTCTGTCATGTGGGTTTCTTCCGTGAACTGCAGATGTTTTCCACAAGTTCTGTGTCACTCCGCCTGGCTATTCTTTTTGTTGTCGTGCCAGGGTTTATCACCACTCGCTTCTGGATAGTGTTAATGATGCAGTCACTTCCTGTCTGCCAAACAAGTGTAACATTCACCAGACTTCCCTGTACACTACAGAGCAAGTCAGGCATCATTACCTGAAATGGTAAAAAAAAAAAAAAAAAAAAAAAAAAACCAAAAAGAAGAAGAAAAATACTTACACTACAGACGCCAAACCTTAAAGGGATGTTAATACTATTTATAGACAAATTTTGATATATGCTAAACACATTCATGTGAAATGTGAGGAAAAAAGTAATCATTTCTGTATAAATCTCTGCAGCCTTCCAGATGAATGACACTTATTTCACAGCATTGTACTTTTAAAAATTTGTTGTGGAAGTGAGCTTTTTCATCATTTTCATCCATTTATGGCGATGTATTGTATATATTAATGGGAAATGGAAACCAAAGAGGAAGTTTAGAAATGACGAAGGGGATGAAATCACTTTCCCCTGTCCAGCACTGTGTTAGATCATGAAGTGGAATAGTTGAGAGTGACAAATAATTGTTCAGTTGACCACAGTTCCCAGACAGCTTTTTTCCCCCAGTACAACAAAAAAAAGATCTATTTCATTAAGAGGCCAAGGTGAAAGAAGATGAGTCTCAGAACTTTACACTGAATGCCAAGGCAGGTAGAGGGAGCATATTTGGATACAAGTATTTCAAACTATCAAAAAAGTATTTCAGTTTTGTTTTGTCTGTAGGAGAGAGGTAGCTGCTGTGCAGCGGGGCTAAGATGAGAAGGAGGTAGGATTTCTGCCACTTGACTGGGCTGACTTCATGGTTTGCATGAATGTAATAAAAAGGTAAAACATGTCCTAGACATTGAGTGTTTCCAGAACTGATTTCTTAGCAAATGTTTTAGAGCCAATCATATTTGTCCTCAGAAATGAATGTGTCTGTGCTTCAAACTATGCCAGCTACAGTTTGCCCATTGCAAACATTTAGTCATTTTAACATCCTTACCTAGGAAACATAAGCTATTATCCTTTGATGTAGGGTATTCTTCCTCCTATTGTTGGTAAAGAAAGAAAACAGCTACCTGAGGAGACCAAGATAAATCAGAACCTTTCAATCTTCCCTTCCCTGGAATGAATCCAATCCAGTGCACTGGACCTATCCTGTCCTCCACACAGAAAAACAGCAGCATTCAAGAAGCACCAGAAAAGGAGCTAACTGTGGAAAGACCCAAATTGTTGGTGCTTCTTTCTCCAAGTATCTAGCATATGCTATAGACAATGGCATGGATGAGAGCAAAAAATGGAAATCAGGACCTCAGCTCCCTTCTCCTCAAGACCACTTCACCAGACCTAGACAGACCCATCTGGGAAACTGAGCCTAATAATTTTCCCTAGTCCTCATGCAAAATAATAGCATGTGTTGCCAGGAAGAGATTACAGAGTTAAAAATATATATGTTCTGTGGCTTTAAAAGTGTATCAGAAAGCCAAGCAGATGCTGCTGGAGAAGGTTCTAGGTAGAGACAGTGAGGAATTTTTCCCCTGGAATGATTTTCAGCCAGAAAATTCTGATTTTGCTGAATTATTTTGTTTTTTCCATTAAAAAATTTGAAAGGAATTATTTCATTATGGCTCAGTTCAACCCAAATTGGACATTTAATTTTGAACTGGCCCCAAACATTTTTAATCTGTTTAGCAAAACACTAAACAGCATTCACTTTGTGGTGCATTACTTTGTGGGAGTTTTAGTTAAGACCATCATTGTTCCCACTCAACCAGGCTACTTAAAGGACTTTCATTTCCCGTGATGCAATACAGGTTTGAGCATGGTGATGCCACATGCATTTTATTGAAAATTACAAAGAAAGAACATGTGAGCTGTATGTCAGTGAAATGAAAACACAGTCACACATCTGGGCATTTGCTTAATGACATTGTTATCTTAATAGCTACTATGTCACAGCCAAAAAAATCACAGAATCATAGAATACTAGAACTGGAAGGGACCTTGAGAGGTCATTGAGTCCAGTCCCCTGCCCTCATGGCAGGACCAAGCACCATCTAGACCTTTCCTGATAGATGTTCATCAATCCTGCTCTTAAATATCTCTAGTAATGGAGATTTCATAACCTCCCCATGCAATTTATTCCAGTGTTTAACCACCCTGACAGTTAGGAAGTTTTTCCTAATGTCCAACTGTCACATGGCCAAGGTGAAGACCCCATCCAGGGTGGGGTAAGGGTGTCTGCTTTGCACCTGTCACACTTGTATTCGCCCTATTCTCCCCTGCTGGTGTCTCTAATCTCACACACCAAAGTCTGTCTACTCCTTCTCTCTAGTCCCCTGGTCAGAATCTATATCTAGCCCCTATTGGCAGGGCAGTAAAGTTCAATAATCCCCATGCGACCCAACAGTCAAAGTTTATAACTTGCCCCTATTGGCTGGGCAGCACAGTTCAATAGTCCCCATGCGACCCAATGGTCAGAGTCTATTTAAGGGGCAGTAGACAGGGGAAAGGGACATCCCCTGGTAGGGAGGTCCAGGCCCTCCCACTCCACTGGACCCCAGTTCAGTGCCCTGTTAGTAGCTTACTCTAGTCACTGAGTCAGCGGGGAAATTCCATCCACAAGCGCCGACTCTCCGATGGTGGCTCACTCACCCTGTAGTCGTGGCCATCCCTGGGCTGCTTCCTGCTTCAAATGTCTCCATTTGCTGGTGGCTATCCAGTTCCCCTCCTTCCTCTGGGATCTGACTACTTCCACTTGTTTCTGGAACTTGTGCAGTCTCTAGATGTGTTGGGCCTCCAGCCTGTATGATAGCATCTCGGCATTTGAGCAGTTGCTAGGGTTTGCAGGGAGCTGGCCAGGCATATCTTCTCCCTCCAGCTGCCAGACCCCGCTGAGCTGAGCTGCTCTCTTTTATAGCAGTGCAACCTGAGCATGCCCAGTAAGGTAAAGAGAGCGTGGTCTTCTCAGAGCTGAGTTAACCCCCTCCTGCTCAATGCGGGGAGAGTATGCCCCGTCACACCACCTAAACCTCCTTTTCTGCAATTTAATCTACGATTGCTTCTTGTCCTATCATCAGAGGCCAAGGAGAACAATTTTTCTTCCTTCTCCTTGTAACACCCTTTTAGATACTTGAAAACTGCTATCATGTCTCTTCTGACTCTTCTCTTTTCTAAACTAAACAAGCCCAGTTCTTTCAGTCTTCCCTCATTGGTCATGTGTTCTAGAACTTTTATCATTTTTGTTGCTCTTCTCTGGACCTCTTCCAATCTCTCCACATATTTCTTGAAATATGGTGCCCAGAACTGGACACAATACTTGAACTGAGGCCTAATCAGCACAAAGTAGAGCTGAAGAATCACTTCCTATGTTTTGATCACAACACTCCTGTTAATACATTCCAGAATCATGTTTGCTTTTTTTTGCAACAGTCTCACACTGTTGACTCATATTTAGCTTGTGGTGCATGACCCCTAGATCCCTTTCTGAACTACTCCTTCCTTGACAGTTGCTTCCCATTCTGTATGTGTGAAACGGATTGTTCCTGCCAAAGTGGAGTTCTTTGCATTTGTCCTTATTAAACTTCATCTTATATATCTCAGACCATTTCTCCAGTTTTTTTCAGATCATTTTGAATTATGATCCTATCCTCCAATGCACTTGTAACCCTTCCCAGCTTGGTATCATCTGCAGATTTAATAAGCATACTCTCTATGCCAATATCTAAATTGTTGATGAAGATATTGAACAGAACTGATTCCAAAACAGATCCCTTAAGAGCCCTTATTTTTATGCCCTTCCAGAATGACTGTGAACCATTGATAACCACTCTGTTAGAATGGTTATTCAGCCAGTTATGCACCCATCTTATAGTCACTTCATCTAGGTTGTATTTCCCTAGTTTATTAATAAGAAGGTCATGCAAGACCACATCAAATACTTTATTAAAGTCTCGGTATACCATGTTCACTGCTTCCCCCTTATCCATAAGACATGGTATCCAATCAAAAAGAAAGCTATCAGATTGGTTTGACATGATTTGTCCTTTATAAGTTGATACTGGCTGTTACCTATCGTCTTATTGTCTTCACAGATTCGTCTTTGCAGATGAATTCCTTAATTATTTGCTCCATTATCTTCACTGGCACAGAAGTTAAACTGACTGGTCTGTAGTTTCCTGGGTTGTTCTTATTTCCCTTTTTATAGATGGGCACTATATGTGCCCTTTTCCAGTCTTCTGGAATATCTCCCCACTTCCATGACTTTTCAAAGAGGATAGCTAAAGGCTCATATACTTCCTTTATCAGTTCCTTGAGTATTTTATGCATTTTATCAGGTCCTAGTGACTAAAAGACATCTAACTTTTCTAAGTAATTTTAACTTGTTATTTTTTTTATTTTAACGTCTAATCAGAAAAAGGCGAATGTAGTTCCCATCTTTAAAAAAGGCAAGGAAAATCCAGAGAACTACAGACCCATTTAGCTTCACCTCAGTCCCTGGAAAAATCATGGAGCAGGTCTTCCAGGAATTGATTTTGAAACAATTGGATGAGAAGAAAGTGATTAAAAACAGTCAAACATGGTTTCTCCAAGGGCAAGTCATGCCTGGCCAACCTATTGTCTTCTATAATGTGATAACTTTCTCTGTGGATATGGGGAAGGTGGTGGATATAATATACCTTGACTTTAGCAGTATTCTTGCCAGTAAGCTAAAGAAGTATGGCTTGGATGAATGGACTGTAAGGTGGATATAAAGCTGGCTAGATCATCAGACTCAGTGGGTAGTGATCAGCAGCTCAGTGTCTAATTGGCAGGTGGTATCAAGAGGCGTGCCCCAGAGGTTGGTGGTGGGGCCAGTTATAACATCTACACTAAAGATCTGTATGAGGGGATGGATTCTGCACCCTCAGCAAGTTTGCAGATGACACTAAACTGTGGGGAAAGGTAGATATATAGGTGGGTAGGGATAGAATCTAAAGTGATTTAGACAAGTTGGAAGATTGGGCCAAAAGAGGTTCAGCAAGGACAGTTGCAAAATCTTGCATTTAGGATGGAAAAATCCCATGCACTGCTACAGGCTGGGGACCAACTGCAGAAAAGGACCTTGGGATTAGAGGTGATGAGAAGCTGAATATGAGACAATAGTGTGCCCTTGTTGCAAATAAGGCTAACGACTTATTGGGCTGCATTAGTAGGAGCATTGCCAGAAGATTGGGGGTATGTCTACACTACCCCGCTAGTTCGAACTAGCGGGGTAATGTAGGCATACCGCAATTGCAAATGAAGCCAGGGATTTGAATTTCCCGGGCTTCATTTGCATAAGCGGGGCGCTGCCATTTTTAAATCCCCGCTCGTTCGAACCCCGTGCCATGCGGCTACACGCGGCACGAACTAGGTAGTTCGAACTAGGCTTCCTAGTGGAATGAGGAGTAACGGTAGTTCGAACTAGGAAGCATAGTTCGAACTACCTAGTTCGTGCCGCGTGTAGCCGCGCGGCACGGGGTTCGAACGAGCGGGGATTTAAAAATGGCGGCGCCCCGCTTATGCAAATGAAGCCCGGGAAATTCAAATCCCTGGCTTCATTTGCAATTGCGGTATGCCTACATTACCCCACTAGTTCGAACTAGCTGGGTAGTGTAGACATACCCAGAGGGAAATGATTATTCTTCTCTATTTGGCACTGGTGAGATTACATCTAGAATATTGTGTCCAGTTTTCCTTCCCCCCACTACAGAAAAGATGTGGACAAATTGGAGAGAGTCCTGCAGAGGGCAAGAACAGACAGAACAAGAAGCAATGGTCTCAAGTTCCAGTGCGGGAGGTGTAAAGGGGTCCATACACCACTGCAGTGCCTCCTGCTGGTCATGCCAGGAAGTAGTGTGGTTCATGGAATGCATTGCTTTCTGGCCAGTGTCTTGCCCATTGTCACTCTGCTTCACTGTCTCCACTATCTCTCTGTGGACCTTCATTGCTCCCTGGACTGTGGCATCCTCCTCAGGACACTGACACTGATTGGCAGTGCTCTATTCTTGCCCTAGGGGATCAGTAGTCCTCAGTCCATACACCAGCCACCAGCCCTTTGCCTCAGGGGCAAGCTGTGGTTTGTAAAGGCCTTGCTCCTTGGTGGCAAGGTGGGGTGCAAGAAGAAATGAGGGCGGGGTAAAGGGGGACCGAGGCCCATTCACTGCTCTGGTTCCTGGCCCAGGGACACTCTAGTAGCAGCCTTGTCCTGCCCTCTGTCATATCCCCCAAACTTCCCTTAATGCTCCTGGGCCACTTTCCTGTGGTGTTGGCCATTGTGTCAAGGCTGCAGCCTGGCCAGTACCAAACTGGAGCTTTTCTTTCTCTCTGATCCCCTAAGCCTGCCCAGCACTGCTCTGCCCAAGGTGCTTTTTCCCTAGGAACCAATCATGGAACCTTGCTGGTAAGAAACCAACTGACCTCTGCTCTACTGAGCAGCTCTTTTTATCATCGTCACCTTTTGATTGACTGTCTATAAGCCTCTCTCTCATTGGAAGATTTTGTGCTGGCTTCTGGAGCCTTCTTTTAACCTTCCCTTGTGAGAGTGGGGCAGCCACCCCACTAAAGAGGTTGAGGTTGGATATTAGGGGAAACTATTTCACTAGCAGGGTGGTGAAGCACTGGCATGGGCTACTTAGGGAGGCGTTGGAATCTCCAGCCTTAGAAGTTTTTAAAGACAAACTTGGCAAAGTCCTGGCTGGAATGAGTTAATTGAGGTTGCTCCTGCTTTGACCTGGGGGTTGGATCAGATGACCTCCTCAGGTCTCTTCCACCTCTAATCTTCTATGATTCTACGATTCAACATTTTTAGAAATATGTGATTATGGGGATCTACTCCATTTGGAATGTTACAGCTGATCCCCAATCTAGGAAGGCGATTCTTCTGTTGTAACAACTCTGAAAACGTGTTTTTTACAGGAAAGCACAAAGTCCAGTTCTGAACTCCTATTGGAATGTCCAACTTGCATTAAAATTCAACACTTAGGTTCCTTTGATAATTTCAGCTTTAAAAAATAAATAAATCTCCACATCTCTACAGTGGAGATCTGACAGTAGCATCTGGCCCTGCATAATTAACTACAATTTGTGGTTTTATTTGGTTATGTTTCACTTTATTTTATAATTCAAATGTGCATTTAACTTATTAAACAGTTATTATTCAGTGGATCCATTTTAAAATACATCTATTGACTTCCCTACCATGTTCAAGGATCTAAAGCCATGTAAAATGGCACAGTCCCCTTGCAAGTACAAACTTTTATTTTTGTATCTTTGTCATAAGATTGAACAGCAAGACAATCAAGGCTTCTCAGTTACAACCTCAACCTACAGTGATATGATAGTGGTTAATCCCTGCTTGTGGTAAATTTCAATTTTCCATTTGAGATTTGGAAGGCAATGCAAGCTTTTACCCTCCCGCCCCTGCCCCCCCCCCAAAAAAAAACAACCAACCAACCAACCAAAAAAAAGAACACCAAAAAACCCCAGACAAAAACCCCCCACAAAAACAACAACAAACAAACAAACAAGCCACCTTTGCAGAATACAGAACAACTTAAACAACATCACCCAGATCCCATCTCTTTTGTCTCCCTAGCAGAGCAGTTGCAGTGACTGAGTCCCACTAAGGAATCTCCCACCTATGAACATCCTTGTATTACTACTTCCTTGCCTCTTCCACCATTTCATTGCTGGGTTGGTGGGGGGGGGATGGTATACATCTTCCATACACACCCCACATCATCCCATACCCCATGAAAGATCTCAGTGAGGCCCAAAGGAAGAGGAGTGGTATCCCAGGAGATTTCTGATCGCTCTATTTCCACAAGTGTACGAGAAGAACCGTGCACAAAGAG